AAACCAAACGTATAAACTAAATACTCCCGAAGCTCTGGTCTCTGGACACGCAAAAGAGGCTAAGGCGGACTCCCAATCGCGGTTGGCCTTACACGGGCGACTTATACACCCCGTATCTTGGGGATAACTTCCCTCTTCCCCTTTTAGGGAAGGCTCTTCCACGTCCCATGAGCCGGATTCAATCTGCTAATGGTGTCCGAGAGCTCCTTTTCCCCGAAAGCGACACGGCGCGTGAACCGCATGGACACGTCAACTTTGGCAAGTCCACGTCGACCAACACAACTTTCGGGATCCTTCCCTTCGTTCCCTATCCCGCTCTTTCCCCTCCACGGATCCATCCAGCAGCTGTCCCTGCCGGGGTTCGAACCGCATGCGAAAGAGGGGGCAATCTGTCCGAAGGTCGAAGTCGTCGTCGTCGTATGGCCGGCCTTTTCTGTCAGTGTGTTTGTGTTCGCACGCTAAAACCACATCGCCGGTCGGGTCCCTCCCTTCGATCTTCTTTTTCTTTACTTTTCTTGGTTGTGTTTTTACCCCACCCATCCTGTCCGAGCCGATCTGCTCTCGATTTGTTTTCCTTGGGGTGTGCGAGGCAATGTGCCCTCCGTTAATCTCGGCGCCGGGAATACACAGACGTGGCCCGGGGGATCCGACGCGGACACGAATGGACCGTGGATGGGGAGCACGTAAACATACTAACGAAGCCCTTAGAGTTATTCGAAGGCAGTTCTTTCTCATTTTTGTGAGAATGCAGATTTCGCTTCTGCTGTTGATGGCCTGAATTGCTAAAAAGGCGACTATAGTTTAAAAGACAAACAAAAAGCTAGGTTTATGTTTGTTTTTTATTTAGCCCATTTTATATTTTAAACAAGTTCAGGGTCGTAGCTAACAGCAAAAGTAATATATGGGCAATTTCATCTCGAATTGTGTAAGAAAAAAATAATGGGTCCTGAAAAAAACTTTTAAAAATATATGTTGGTGGAATATGTGCGACTAGAACAAAACTGCAAATTATAACTACGGAACTTTTTTTTTTGTTCTTGAGTTTTTGGTTTTTGAAAGGTCTTGCAATTTTTGGAGTTTTCACTAGTGACAGGTTTTGGAGTCTCGCAACATTTAGATAAACTTTTTGAAAACAATGATAACTTATTTGCTGCTTTAATACTTTATGTAAGGGGTTAAAGATCAGTGCAAGTTTTTTTTTATTTTACTTTATAAAATAATAAGTTCTTCAATCTTGCACTTTTGACAATAATGGGCCAAGTTTAAATCAAGCTAGCTTTCGATGTACAATTATTTAAGGCATAAGAAACATATAAAATGTAAAATTATCTAAGCCTATTTAGAACATTAATATTGTTAATTTAACTGTAGATCATATAAAGGGAAGAACACGGTAAACATAAAAAATGTAAAAGTGCAAAATGCAAAGTTATTTTAGGACAGTAAGTATTTTTTTTATTCTTTATAAAAAGTTTTTATGTGCTCTTATCAATACAATAAAATTTCCTTGACATATATGGTTTCGTCATATTAGGCAGTGCGTTTGAAAATACATATGTACCTGCATTCTTTGATGCCTATCTCCGTAAATTCGTTTTTAACTCAAATTTAAGTTTTTTTTTGTAACATATGATCATAGTTTTTTTGGTTCTCGAGACCACACACAGTTTGGCAAAACTTATACATCTATATTATTTATAGTATAATATGGTAAGGGGTTTTTCCGCGCGTTGCATCTGTTTACTTAGTAAAGTACAGAAATAATAACTGTCTTATATAACGTTTAACCGTTGTCATATGAGATTAACAAACACATCGATGACTTTTTAAAAGTTTTTCATGAGTTAATAGAGCACTTGTGGGGAAAAACATTTCAAAGCGGCGGCCCGCCGAGCACGTCAATAAGCGTGCATGATTTGTTTCTTCCTTCAAACAACTTCCTTTACACGATAGCTAAGCTAGGCTCGTTGAAAGCTCCCAATCTCCGTCTTTACTGGCACTTCTATGTATGCGAAACCAAACGTACGTTCCCAATCTCGTCGAATGACATGAGGTGAAACTATGATGCCCGGAGCGCGTCTTCGACTGGTGTGTTCAGCGTCCTATCCCGCCCATACATCAAAAGTGGTCCCAAAGTGGCAACAAATGACGTCACAGAAGCCGGAGTGTCATGCTGTTGCGTGTCGCGATCCTGGCGGTTGACCGTAGAAATGCTGACAAAAAGCACGACGGAACGCGAGTGTCGCTGTCGTCACGGCGTCCCAGGCGTCCCAACTTCCGGCTGCTTTAACTTCCGTGGACTGTCACAGTGGAGAGCGACCTACAGCAGAACAGGCGTCTGCCATATACACCACAACTGTTGAAACATCGCCAGGATCGCGATCGGCGACAGCATGACACTTCTATGACGTCATCAGGCGGAAATCGAGGGACACTTTTTTTGGAGGCGGTAAACACACCAGTCGGAGACGCGTTCCATGGCACCATATTGAAACTATCAGTTCCGCTAGCATCGCGCCTTCCCTAATTCCGCCTTTTTTCTTCTTTCTTTTCACTGTTGAGATATAAGCACCTCCAAGGTTTTCTTAAGCTGTATTGGTCTTTTTTCCTCGGCAGAAAGTGGGAACGAAAGGGAAATCCGCGGCACGAGCGGGACATAGACTTGCCGCCATCCTTTTTAACTCTATGAGTGTTGCACCCCCCGTTTTCGAGAGCTGTCGTGGTTTTTTTTTTGGTACAGACACGTTCGCTATAAACACTACCATACGACGATTCGTGCACATGATAGAAAGGAAGAAGCTATAGATAACCGGTGATTACCAGAAGGCGTTACTATGGCTAAAGCTCATGTGCCGCCGCCTTCCGGAGTGGCAGCCTTTTCCTTCCGTTTTACTTCACTGGCAGGTTGTACGATGTCCACATATCTGGTATCGCATCTCAGTTTGTTAGACACAGTTAACCAATACCGGGGCAGGAACAACAACTCTTTGCCTGGCAGCAATATTAAGCCTGGCCGACCAAGAATTCAGTCTTGAAGAGATTAAGAGATTTTGTCTGTGTGTTTACCCAACTGAGCTAGAGCGCGTTTCCTGAGCAGTACCGAAGCCCCCGCTGGTGCATATTCTGGCTATTTTGTAGCGTCAGCTACACTGGCCGAGGTTGAGCAGTTTCGTGTGGCTCCCATAATGAGCCGTGCTCCGTGCTGCGCATGCGCGAAGAGCAGTGACGTCACACGGCGGACAGCTGGCGCGCCGGAGCCACCGCCGCCACGCCCACCTCGCCGGTCTGCGCATTCCAGAGGAGTGACGTGATAGCCTCGGCAGACGCACTGGCGCCACTGCGTGCCCAGCTGTGCGCCTCCGTTGCGCAGTAGCCAAGTCTGACGCTGCATTGGAGCCGCTTGATAGCGCCTATCATTTTGTGCGCATAAGCTCACGCTACGTATATCCTGACATAGCCGAGCTAAGCCGCCGCAATATTTTTTAGCAGTTTTGCTCATTTTGACGCGCAAGTTTGCTGGTGATATTGTCCACAATAAATAATTCCATCGCACGGCAATGTGCTGTCGTTAGTTGTTAAAATGACCGTATCTCCACGTGGTGAATGATGTTGATTGGGGCGAAGCTCTGGCGGTGCTGATGACGTTCGTTTTCATCCATGACAGAAAGAGAATGTGTGGTATGGAACGTATTTGAGCATTTGACCGCAGTGCCCTCTCGCCTATAAACGTTGAGCCAATGCATTCAAAGTTTAACGCGATTATATACAGATTTGACCGCAGCGTCCTCTTCTGTACAGACGTCGAGCGGCTGCATGCAACGTTTCATCCATGACATTCCCCAGCTCTTGACTTACTACCACATCTCAGAGCCCCTTACTCGTCCCGCAATCGTGGGCGAGTGGTTAAGGCGATGGACTAGAAAGTCATTGGGGTCTCCCCGCAAAGGTTCGAATCCTTCTGTTTTCACTTCGGCCGAGTCACCGAAGCATGACTTACTGTTATCCGCCTTTTGTTTGTTTTATTAACTGCGTTGCCATTGGTCCGTGGAGCGCTATATATAGTTCCACGCGGGCCCGAAATAAACCGTTCATACCCTGGTAGCCGGCCTGCCTGTTTGGTCCTCGCGGTTCTGTCATACTGCGAGATGTCAAAGTGACAACAGTGGCGACGAGGCGCCGAACTCCGCCGGGCAGGAGGCAAGGGCTGCTCAAGATCCGAGACGGGGGCAATGGCGACGCCGACCAGCTTTCAAGTGCCTGACTTCGACGACAGCAGAGATAAGTGGGACTCCTACATCGTACGCGTTGAAGCATACTTCGAGGGAAATGCTATTGCCAGTGGAAAGACCAAGAGAGCGCTGCTAGTTTCGGCACTCGGCACGCATACGATAGAAGTCTTAAGTGGTAGCTGTGCCCCGCGAAAGGTGAACGAGTTATCGTATGAAGAAGCTGTGGAATTCCTAGAGCAGCACTACGCGCCTAAGCGCAATGAAATAGCCGAGAGCTATAAATTTTTCAACCGCGTGCAACAACCAACTGAGAGCGTACGAGAGTTCGTTGTGCAGATCCGCAAAATTGCGGAAAACTGCAACTTTGGCATGAGCCTTGACCGGATGCTACGGGATCGAATTGTGTGCGGTGTGAGAAGTAGAGACGTCCAGCGAAGGTTGCTGTCACGGCGGGACCTTACGTTGAATGAGGCGGAAGAAGTAGCAGCCGCAGCGGAAGCAGCTGATTCCGAAGTAGAACAAATGCAAAGGCCAGAAACGAAGGAAGGGGCCATACACAAAATGGTGAAACAGCCGTCAAGAAATGTGTACGGGCGGGAGAAGCACCTTTCGGTAGCAGCGTGTGGTCGCTGTGGAAGTTCATCACACACCGGGGAAAACTGCGGCCACAAAACGAAAACGTGTTTTCGCTGTGGAAAGCAAGGGCACCTAGCCAGAAAGTGTCGAGCTACGGGGTATCGGGAGCGAAGCGGGAAACCTGATAAGGAACAGATGTCGTCGTTGTTGGCGGACGCGTCAGCAGAAGGTGATGACTTGTGCATTTCGTCGGTGTACGCAATCAAGTCGCAAGCTGCAACGGTCTGTTTGGTTCAACCAGTCAGGAAGAAGCTTTGCTGGGGAGGCATTGACGTCAGCATGGAAATAGACACTGGCTCTCCTGTCTGCGTCATTCCTCGGAACGTGTATCTTCAGTGCCGAAACCGCTGGCCTAGCCTTGCAAAAAGTGAACTGAGACTGAATTGTTATCTCGGGAAATTGCCCATCTTAGGAGAGCTGCATCTGGACGTTGCTTTCCAGGGCCGCACGGTTCCTGCAAACCTGGTGGTGTTGGATTGCCTTGGACCCAGCCTTTGTGGCCGGGATGTAATCAACAAGTTGAACTTGCTTGGCGCAGAAGTGGCCTCTGTTTCCGCTCACCGAGACCACCAGGATTTGGAATCCCTGCTGAGCGACTTCCAGGACCTGTTCGAGCCCGGTCTAGGAGCCATCGAGGGGCCCCCCGTACATCTCTACCTGAAGGAAGGAGCTCGCCCGAAATTCATGAAGGCAAGACCCGTTCCTTACGCTCTGAGAGATAAGGTCTCTGAGGAGTTAGACCGTCTTGTTCAAACGGGAGTTTTGTCTCCAATAACGCATTCAGAATGGGCGGCGCCGATCGTTCCTGTGCGGAAAAGTGATGGATCCGTTAGAATTTGCGGAGATTTTAAGTTGACTGTGAATGCTGCCTGTGCTACTGAACAGTACCCTCTGCCCAGCATAGCAGACATTTTTGCGTCGATGCGTGGTGGGGCAGTGTACAGTACGTTAGATCTGCGAGACGCGTATAACCAGGTACCGTTAGACAAAGATTCCAAAAAAACTGGCGGTGATTAATACACATCGCGGGCTCTTCCAGTACAACCGGTTGCCGTTCGGGGTTGCATCGGCTCCGGCCATTTTTCAGAGAAAAATGAAAACCATGCTGGCCGGCCTGCCAGGAGTGCAGGTGTACTTGGATGACGTGTTGGTGGCTGAGCAGCCGGGAACTGAAAATCTAAGGGCAGTGCTGCAACGATTTCAAGACATGGGTGTGCGGCTGCGGCAGTCGAAGTGTACGTTTAGGAAAAGTGAAATTTGCTACTTGGGCCACAGAGTGGACCAGGAAGGGCTTCACCCCATCGAGAAGAATCTGGACGCCATCCGACAGGCCCCAAGCCCTACGAACGTCAGCGAGCTCCGGGCCTTTATTGGATTGTTGACGTATTATCATCGGTTTTTGCCAAATATGTCTACCCTGCTGGCACCGCTTTACGAGCTCTTAGAAAAAAATAAAGTATGGCAATGGGGACCGAGACAACGAGACTCCGTGGAAAAGGCCAAGACAGTATTGCTAAAATCTCCCGTGTTGACCTTTTTTGATCCAAGTAAACCACTCCGTCTGGAATGCGATGCCTCGCCAACAGGAGTAGGAGCTGTACTGTCGCACCGATTGGGGTCTGTCGACCGACCGATCGCCTTCCGTTCCCGAAGCCTGACATCAGCAGAAAAAAATTATTCCCAAATAGAGAAAGAGGCACTCGCCTTGGTGTTCGCCGTGACCAAGTTCAGGGATTACTTGCTAGGTCGACAGTTCGTTCTCGTCACCGACCACCAACCCCTGGTGGGTCTGCTGAGAGAGGACCGGCCGATACCTCTGCTGGCATCGGGAAGAATTCAAAGGTGGGCCCTTCTACTCAGCGACTTCCAGTACAAAATCGAATTTCGCCCCGGGAAACTCAACGCGAACGCGGACGCCCTCAGCCGATTGCCCCTTCCACAGACCGAGGAGAGCCGAGAGGAGGAGCTGCCAGAGTACGTGTTCGCGATACAGTGCATGGATGAAGCGTTCCTGCCGGCACGGCAGCTAAAAGAGCTCAGTGCCGAGGAGAGAACACTGACTACAGTAAAAAGCTTCGTAATGCGTGGCTGGCCGAAAATTCTAACCAAAGAACAGCATGAGCTGCATCCTTACTTTTGCAGAAGGCAGGAGTTGACTGTCGTCCAGGACCTGCTCTACTGGGGACAGCGAGTCGTCATTCCAGGGGCAGCCCAGAAAGAGATGCTCAATCTACTCCACGAGGCTCACCAGGGGGCGACGGCCATGAAAAGGGTAGCCCGGACGTTGTTTTGGTGGCCCGGATTGGACGGTGAGGTAGAACGACTGGCTCGTCTTTGTCACAACTGCACACAGGCTGCTCCTATGCCTCCAGCAAGCACGCCTGTTAACTGGCCAGAAACGGGAGAAAATTGGGCGCGCTTGCACATTGATTTCGCTGGGCCAATTGAAAACAAAATGCTGCTGGTGGTAGTGGATTCACACACTAAGTGGATCGAAGTATGCGTAATGCGCTCGGCCACCACTGAAGCCACCATAAGGGAGCTCAGAGAGATGTTCAGCCGATTCGGCTTACCACGTGCGATTGTGTCAGACAACGGGACTCAGTTTACTAGTCAGCAGTTTGGCGAGTTCCTGGAACGAAATCACGTGGAGCATTTAAAAACCGCCCCGTATCACCCACAATCTAATGGATTGGCAGAGCGGGCGGTCAGAACGGTAAAAGAGTCCCTAGCCAAGTTGTCAACCGGGGATTTGGAAGAGAAGTTGGCGAAAGTGTTGCTGTCTTACCGTCGCACTCCACTGTCGGACGGGAAATCACCGGCCGAGCGCTTACTCGGTTTCCAAGTACGCTCGCGCGTCGACACTGCTGTGCCGTCAAGAGTGTGTGCTCGCCTGACTTACAGGTCCCAACCATTCGCCCTCATGCTGCCGTGTGGTACCGGAACTTCGGGCAAGGTGAAAAATGGTTGCCCGGGGTGGTGGAGAGCAACCACGGCGCTGGCATGACTGTGGTATCTACTCCCGGAGGCAACGTCCGCCGTCATCTCGATCAACTGCGGTTACGGGAGGTCAAGGCGGAAACCAGCGAGGCACCCGCCGCCAGCGGTTCAGCAGTACCTGCACCCTCTCCCAGGAGCCCTGCTGACCAGTTGGCCCGAGCCGCAGCCGCCAGCGGTTCAGCGGTACCTGTACCCTCTCCCACGAGCCCTGCTGACCAGTTGGCCCGAGCCGCGGTACCTGCAGCCTCGGCCAAGAGCCCTGCGAACGAGTTGTACGGCGACGCCACGACCTCAAGCGAGCCCGAAGACAGCTGTGTGCCGTTCCAGCTGCGACGGTCCACTCGGACTCGGAAACCCATTGATCGCCTTCAATTATAAGAGAAGGAGAATTGTTATCACTTCGGCCGAGTCACCGAAGCATGACTTACTGTTATCCGCCTTTTGTTTGTTTTATTAACTGCGTTGCCATTGGTCCGTGGAGCGCTATATATAGTTCCACGCGGGCCCGAAATAAACCGTTCATACCCTGGTAGCCGGCCTGCCTGTTTGGTCCTCGCGGTTCTGTCATAC